AAAAGAGAATAAGGCCTGAATGTACCAGCTGCGAGTTACATGGGTGAGAGGTGGTGTGGTTGGAGGATGTTTAGCCAGGTAGTTTAACTTTGCGTTATAGCCCAGGGGCTTGTGTTATTGTCTTGTTGTTGTTAGACTGAAGGACCGGGTGAGGCTATTAGGGGACGGAGGAGGCCTCATAGGGGCTCCACGGTAGCATGGGGACCCTAGTGCCAGGGAGGGCACAGCAGTTGGGGTGCATTGACCCCAGCCCCAGTGCGGGCAGTTGCGAGAGGCCCCAAAAAGGGGCCAAGCCAGAGTGCACCAGTGGTGGCATAGGCCAAGCCAGAGCACGCCAGTGGGGCGTGGAGAGGAAAATCAACCAAACAACGTCCGGTACATCTGCGAGGCTTGGGGAGTGGTACAGGGGTGGTTGGAGCCACGTATAGACCATAAGGCCGGGGTGCACCGAGTCACCCAAGACAGCACTAAGACCTTGAGACACATCAGAGCACCATGTTAGACAGGACTAAGGGCAGCCTCCCTTAAACATTATTAACATCAAAGACATGGCGGGCGAGATTGTGAGGGTGCTTTTAATATCATCTTGGAATGGTAGGGGGTGCTAGGGGAGTTCACGGTCACCCCTAGGACCTTGCGCTGCTACACTGGGGATGTAGTGACACCCCACCACACCTGCTTGGATCCTGATTTGGTGGAGCAGCTGGTGTTCCTGAAAGTGAACCTCCTGCTGGTGGGGTTCCCCAAGCTCCAGATGCAGACAGAATGAATGCCACCCCCTTCACTCTGTCCACAGCTATTTCCTTTTTTCATTTATTTAAAAACATCTAATGTCCTGCTCTCAGAGCTGGAGGGGACACTCACTGCATCACCAGCCAGCAGGGGAAGAACATGTCCCTGCTGAGCTCTCATGCCAGGATGAACTTGGAGATACGGGCTAGAGCTATAGGGAAGGAGGAGATCCCAGAGGTCCTGGGCATAACCACTAAAACTGCACTCTGCCAGTTGGGAGGCTTGGTATGACTGCTGGCAGCATAGCAACTCCAGGAAATGCCAGGACCAAGGACCCCCTGGTGAAAGGTGGGTAGGAGGTCCCATAACCTTCAGCCACCACACTCGCATGGCACAGTCCTGGCTGGGGAAAGCCCAGACCCATCACATCTAAAGGACATAAGTTGACGGAAAGTAGATTCAGGCTAGATATTAGGAAGCACTACTTCACAGTTGGGACGGCTAGGATCTGGAACCAATTTCCAAGGGAAGTGGTGCTCGCTCTTACCCTGGGGGTCTTCAAAAGGAGGCTAAACAATCACCGAGCCAGGGTTGTTTGACCCCAGCATTCTTTCCTGCCCATGGCAGGGGGTCAGACTTGATGATCTACTTAGATCCCTTCCGACCCTACCAACTATGAAATTATCTTTGACAGGCCTGAGGCTTGCTGGTTGCAGTTGAGTTGTGAGGCTCCAGGTGAGCTCAGCTTAGCTGCCTGGGATGCCAACTTACAGGCTGAAAAACTGTTAGGCTGAGGAAGTACCTGCAGGAGGTGGTGGTGGTGTGCGTGTGTCCGTGCGCTGTTCTTGGATGGAAGGAATAGTAAAAAAAGCCAGAGGCTGGCATGCAAAGCAGGCAAGAAAGCCAGTCAGTGACAATGGAAATGGAGGCATCAGGGGGTGAGGGACAGACTGGGGCGGGGGAGGGGGAAGAGAGGATGTAACAACGCAGGTAAGAGTGGAGAGGTACCTGGGGAAAGCAGGTGTCCAGAAGGTTCTAGTGTGTCAGAATCCCAGTGTCATCCAAATCTGCCAAAAAATGACAAAATTATAGGCATTTCATTTCATTATAGCCTACGGGTGAAATGTCAAAACAGCGAAACAGTTTTGACTAAATGAAAGGGATCAGTGCTTCAAAACAGTTTTGATGAAACAAAACAAAATTCGAAATGAAATACTGTCTCATTGAAACAGCAAAACAGATTTCAAAATGAAACGGTGCTGTTTTGCACTAGGTAACACCACAAGCCTTCTTCCTGCAGGACTGGGTACCCCCCCATCCATGTGGCTGGATCAGGCTCTGCTGGGCCCACTGGACCTGGACTGAGGATGCAGCAGACATTGCGCTCTGGCTTGTGGGTCAAGAGTTGAGCACCAAGGTTAGAATGAGCAAAGTAGATGCGTGTATGTGCGTGCGTATAATACATATTTATTACATGAAATACACATCATATGTATATATTATGTATTACACACACACATGCATACACACCCCACTCCCTAGTTTAGTCAATCTGAAATGGTGGTGCTGTGCGTGTGTGTACACACACACACAGCGTCAATCTGTATCATTGGTGCTGTGTGTACACACACACCTCAGTTTGTAGCAGTGGTGGTGGGTGTGTGCGCGTGTGGCACAGGGGTGTCCAACCTTCTTGAATGTGGGGCTGGATCATGAACTTTTATCACCCAGTGGGCCAGCAAGCCATATTCAAAGACCTCACAGGAACTGGTATCACATCAAGAAGTGATGTCACGTGACCTTTGACACCAATGAAGTTGCAGGAAGTGACAATGAAATGGGTCTGGAAATGTGGTTTAAAATCCAAAATAAAAAAAAAGCAAGAATGAAATGATAACAAACACTTGACTAAAATAAACACTTTTGCTTCTACTCACTTCTCAAGGAATGAAAGAAGCATAATGCAAGTCAACAGATGAAGTCCCAGGATTTGCTTGAGAAGCATCTATGGATGCAAGCCAGTGTTTGCTTGCTTTACTAGCTGCAGCATCACACTGAAGCTCATGTTCATCTTGTGGTCATCCATGACCTCCAAGTTCCTTTCATCTGTAGAGCTAACCAGTGTAGCACTACCGAGCCTGTAAGTATGCTGCAGGTTTTTCTGCCTCCTATAAGCCTGCTGCAGGGACCCATTCTGCATCCAGCCAGCCACTGCCTCAGAGACTGAACGGGAGAAATAAATGACTTCATATCCCCATCTCCCAAGCAGCACCGCCCCACGAGCCAGCGCTGCCCAACGGGACCGGAGCGAAGCAGCCGCTGCACCGCAGCCCCTCACCCGCATGGCCCCATTCACAATGGTGCCCGGCCGTCCTCGCATGCACCCCCAGCAGCCTCAGCCCTGCGAGCCCAGAGCATGTGATCTGGCAGCCTGCGCCAGGCACCACGCCCTGCTCCCGCCCCATGGCCGCTGAGCCCGGCGGGTCCCAGGAGGCAAGCTGGAGGCCGGGGGCAAGAGGTGGAGCCAGAGAGCAGTAGCAGGTGCTGTCCCCAGCTTGTCCTGTCAGGCAGAGCTGAGGCAGCCCGGTGCTGTGCAGCCCTCAGGGCAGCGGCATTGAGACCTGGCTCACTGGTAAGCCCGGCCCCGCGGGGGTAAGCAGCTCCCCTCCCCTCGCTGCTGGCTGGGGCCCGCAGGCTGGCTCTGCCCACCTCGCCTTGCCACTGCCCCGCCACCGTAGAGCACAGAGCAGGAGCCAGGACTGCTCGCCTGTCCCGAGCAAGGGACCGCGGGCCAGAGAAAATGGCTTGGCAGGCTGCACGGTGGCCCGCGGGCCGTATGTTGGCCAAGCCTGGTGTAGCACAAGCTTTCCTGGGCTGAGGCTCATTTGAGATATTGAGCTTCACTTTCACCCCCAACAGGGCTTCCCAGGGGGCCACGGAGCAGCCCGTGAGCCCCACCCTGTCCCCAGCAGCCTGGGAAATGCGGCGCTGCTTGTCGCCCCGGGCTCGGGGTGGGCGGATCTCGGCCGGGGCTGGAGTGTCGCACCACGCCCTGCCCTACAACGGAGCAGGCCTCCCCTGGGGCCGGGG